TTGACCTGTGTATGTATTTGCATTATTAAATAGTTATAAGTTAAATTTGAAAAATGTAGTGAGTGCACTTGTATTTGATGTATAACTTTTTGTTGCAGTATAGCACCATGGAAATTACCAAGGGTTTACAATTTTGAGCGCAGCACCCTTGAGATTGTATAGATATATATATAAAATATAAATATGCTTTTTTATTATGCATTTATTTATTTTTTAACTAGAGAACATAAACTTTGTGTGTAATACTTTAAAGTTGAGGCTTTTACGTTTCATCATTTTCCCTCGTAGATTAAAATTAAAAAAAAAGTGTCAACACACTCCTTTCCAATTTTCTTTGGATCAACAAATTCAGGTTCATATTTCTTTAAGTATTTAAATGTTGATTGGGTGCATGTTTTATTTAGTGTGTTTTTAATTTATCGTTGAATTATATATGACTAGCTTAATTGTTTTTACAAAATATATATGGGTTGTACAATTTTGTTGATGTTTGTTCACTGCCACCGTTTTTTTTTTTTATATTTAAATATGTTTTAAAAGTCAATTTAAAAGTTTATATTAAATCATTTGTAAATTTTATCCAACAATATAAAATCGAGGCCAGTGTTTGATGCAATCGTTTATCAACACACGTCATTCCGTTGAGTTCAGTGAAAACCTATTTCTTTGAGAAATAGGAAGCAGGACAAACTGTTATTTGGAAATGTAGTCCATATTATTAGTGCAAAGTATTTAAAGAGACGACAGATGGAAGTAAGAGTGTCAAGGGTCTAAGGCAGATGAGGGGCATGTACCCAAACAGTTAAGGGATAATAGATGATTGGATGCCTGGACCTTGGTCAATGAAATTAAGACTTAACGTTTAATAAATCATTAAAACATTTTAATAATTTATTAAATGTATTATGTTAATACCCTTTTAAAAGAAAAGAACTCCCTCATAAACATTCAGCTCTATACATATATAAAAAAAATTAGTTGCCGAAAAGAAATAAAGTAAATTGTCACAGCCATAAAACAGTATTTACCTGAAATACATGGATTTGAAGACTTTAGGAACAGTGTTAAAAGCTGTACATTTAAAGCTACCCTCCAAGCACCATAACCACTACAGCGTGGTTTGATTTCTTGTCTGAGTTCCATCAGGTATCAATCTTCACCTCTTCTCCTCTTCCTGGAGGGCCAAAAATCCCTGCTGGGAAATTCTGTTTGCTCACCTTAGCTAAGCCTTGCCGAGCAGAACCTACTTATTAGCTTAGAGGGTCACCTGACTGTTCTCAGTCAATAAGCTAAGCCCTAAACCGCCTGGCATTACTCAGACAGAGAACGTCCATCTCTTGGAGATTCAGGAAGTGGCGTCCAGAAGACACGGGATAAGAAGTCAAACCTTGACCGATTCCTGGAACCATAACCACTACAGCACACTGTAGTCATTATGGTGTGTGGTGCAGTCCCTTAAAAGATCACTACAAGCACCATAACCACTGTAGCCTCCTTTACTCATTATGATGCTGGGAGTGCCCTGGCACCCTGCCAGTGTTATTTATCAAACCGTTATAGAATGGTTTGACAACTTACCTGAGTCCTCTGGGCAGACACTCTCTGCTATGAGTTAAGTTCAGAGGTGCACTTGATCAGCTGGTGCTCTCAGCCAGTAAGCTGACCCTGCATTGCGCCTGCAGGTCCCAGGTAAGAAGTTAAACGACTCTAACAGTTTGTTTACTAACCCAAGGCAATCCTGGTACCATAACCACTAGACCCAGCAAGTTATAGTGGTTGGAGTGTTCCTTTAATTAGCAAGCAGCTGCTCTCTAAACCGTGATTAGGGATTTAATCTATTATTGGCCAGGTTCTCTTCTTACTACTTGACAACCATCACTTGGATAGAAGGAGCTGTTTCAACAACCACATACCATATCAATTTGGGCATCTTTACCTTGTGCGTTTATAATGTATCTTATTGTATTGAAATATCTTTTAATAAAGGTTTTACATTATTTATTTTTTGGTGTTTCCTTTGAGTTCCTCCTCATGTTTTTTTATACTTGTTTCTTAACACAAAGGCATCTTTTAAGACGGTGCATTAATTGGACACAACGTTTTAGGTTCATTAAAATTGCTGACAATATACATTTTTTATTAGTTATCTTAATTTGTGACTTACTAAAGTTGTCATCACTGCTCTTTTTTTTTTTTTGCGTGTTTTGATGTTTTCCTATTTTAGGGCTCGCAATAACTGAACTGAATTGGGGGAAAAAAACACAAAAAACTACTTCTCGGAAACTGAAACACTATAACGCCTGCATTACTTGTTTCAAAGTTGATTCTCTGTCTTTTCCCAGTAAACCCTTTTTTATCCACCTCATCTCAACTTTAATCTGCAACTGGACATGATGGCTATGTTCCTGCAGGTTACACTGATCCCATATCAATTTGTATTTAGCAGAATACCATTTACTGTTCTCATTAATGTATGTTTGAGCTAGTGAATTTTTACCAGTTTAGATTGTTTTTACAACAGTTCTCTTTTTTTTTTTTTACGAGCCATCTGCCCTGCAATTGGCTTAAGTAAAAATCTGCATTACAATATCTTTTAGCCAGCTGTTTCTTGGCTGCTAAAAGCTGTTTTTATCTGTAAATAAAAGCCTGCAATTTAGCAATAGTTTGAGTGACGCATGCACGTTTTGTTATACTGAAAGCGCCTCAACTTGTTTACATTTCTGGCTCATCATTTTATCACCAGCCCTTACGTTCTTAACATGATACTTCGCTCAGCAGCAAAATACAAAACAGAGTACATGAAGCTGGAGAGAGAATGGGTTTTGTTTTTTGTCTTAATGATCAGATCGACTTCTGCACAGAAGAATACAAATAATGAATGTGCCACCTCTGTAAATTAATGTTAGCTATCTCTGCCAGTGGTATAATAACTCTTTTAACCACTTGTTTTATTGACTTGGCAAAAGTGACAGCATTAAAATACACAACGAAAAACATTAAAACCCTTTCCGTTTTTTTTTTCTCATGCACAGAAAAATGGAGATGAGATTATGATAAGCCTGGGGTTAAAATACACGGACATCATTGCTCACACATATTATAGTAAATGTATGTTATATCAATGTGAGCCTGTGTAAAAAAAAAAAATTGAATATTGTTCATAAAATGTCCTTGAGAAAACAGGAATTGATTTTCCGTACATGGTATATAGTCTTAAGTTAAAATGAGAAAAGAAATCGCCTCCAGACACATGCTGGGAAGCAAACCAATTACTCTGACATTGCTTCAAGAGAGCTCTTAGAAATTATTTAGAGGGACTCAGTGAGTGAGTTTTTCTAAAAGGCTTGGCTTGTTTATAACACGGGCATACTCTCTGTGCTCTCATATCCCTTATCTACATATTTCCGCTGTGCAGGATTCCCAAAAGGGGATGTGCTGCTTTCTTTGCCGTGGATTTGTCAGTGAGAGCACGTCACACTACTGATTACATACACCTGACACTAATTAGGTGTTAGAATAAAAAAATAAAAAAAACACAAAAACAAAATGTTGTGTAATAGGATTTGTGCCAGTTTTTGTAAAAGTAGACCGAATGGACTAGGTCATCTTATGAATTTAATCCTTAACCCCTAACCCTTTAGGACCAAATGTTATATTTTTCTCTAAGAACAGTCTTGTTCTTAGAGAATGTACGTCAACATGGAATTGTCCTTGTTATTTATGGTGGCTTCATGAAGCCCTGCAGTCTTCAAATGAAGGAATTGTTCAACTTTAAAATAGCAATCTTAAAGGAAAACTCAAAGCACCATACACATTAAGACCTGCTGTCAGCCCTGGTGCCATCCCAGAGAAATTTGTCTAGCCATTTTAAAAGTTACCCCAGATCCCCTATCCCCACACACACACACATTGTACCTGGGCTTCTACTGCAAGAGCAGAATTGATGCATTCACTGAGCTAAACATGGACCACATGCATTGGCTGAAATCGCTCAGCAGACAATGAGCTTTAATTTGCATTTCTTAACTCAATGGAACTAACCGTGTTTTCCTGCAATGAGAATCCAGATGCAGGGCCACAGCCACAAGCAACCAGTGGGACAAAGGTAAGTTTTCAAACTGATCTAATGTGGTTGCAATACTAATTATTGCCCTTTTTTAAACTTACATTCATTGCTCTATAGGAGACAACGTTTGGACAGTCATTTAAAAAATTCCTTAAATTTAATAAATCAAGAGAAAGATTTTGTGTTTCTTTGTATTAGACTGTACATTTCTTCTAATGATTCCATTTTAGCACTATTTCAAACAAGAGTGAAAAGTTTCAACTTTATTGCAATTGATTAGAACATTTCTTTAAGTCTTTAATTGAACTTTAAACATTAACAGTAAGAATGAGTTCCATTCCATTTCATTACATGACAAACATTCTTTTTAAATGAAATACAGGGCCATGTCTGTGGCAAGACATACTGATTCAAAAACGGAAACCATCAGTGGAGACATTTAGTTCAATTTCATGGCGATTACTCACATTTGGTACTTAACAGTTTTTTTAAAGAACATCTCTGACTTAAAAGAAGAAAGAAAGACCATTTTGAATAATACTTACAAGGGCGGGCAGGAATTCTGTATTATGCATTAAGTTTCCTTTTCGGTTTAATATTAATGTTAAAAATGGAATAAAATTCTTCATTTGAAAAATAGACATAATATAGATGGAAAACAAAAATGACAGTGAAAGTCAAAGTTATATATAGAAGGAATATAAATGTGTACCCTGTGTGTTAAAAATGCACAAATACTTCTCACGATGTGCAAATCGGAATGTACCAGATGGAAACTGGTGAAACTATCCTGGCTAGGTAGAATCAACACCATCAAAATGGTCCTAATCCCGAAGATACTGTACATATTCCGCCTACTACACATACAAGTCCCACCCTCCTTTTTTAAAACACTCCAACGGACACTATCCCAATACGTGTGGGACTTTCACAGACCCAGACTGTCACACCGAACCCTACAACAAAGTACAGCGAGAGGGGGAGTTGGTTTGCCAGATGTACACGCCTACTACAAAGCAGCTATTCTAGAGGCAGCAGTGAAACTGCATACCCATAAAGGAGTGTACCAATGGGTGGACATGGAAGTCGCCCACGCTGGTAAAACACCCTTGGTCGATCTCTTGTGGACCCCCGCGACGTATCGGCCCAAGGACAAATCCCTCTTACCGACCACTAAACTAACCATATATCACTGGGACAAGCTGCGTCAAAAACATTACGATACTCACAAATTTCACCCTCGCACGCCATTAACAGCACTAAAAGCAATATCACCTTGGCTCTCGCTACACTCATGGGTCAAACTGGGAATTACCCACATAGAACAAGTCCTGCAAGGAGGTCTCATTAAACCCTTCCCAGACCTACAAGAGGAATTCAAACTCACTAATTCCTCAGTGTTTCCATACCTGCAACTTAAAAGTGTACTTCCCACACATGTTACGCAGAGTCCACCGAGCATTGACCCAGACTTAAAGGACATAACATCATTATACGACAGGTGCTGGAAAACTCCGACCAAACCTAAATCACTCTCCCTATGCTACCAGCTAATCCTCAGGGCCACACCCACGGCTATCCCTAACTATGTAACCCAATGGCTAGAGGAGGGCGTAGGTTCGATAGCTGACACTGAGATACTGGCATCCCCCCGAGCCCTTTCAGGCCTCACGCAGTGCTACTCTCACACAGAGGCCCATAAAAAGCTGGTATATAGATGGTACCTAACACCCCAGCGACTCCACTCGATGTACAACAATGTATCCCCACATTGCTGGAGATGCGGGGTTGCTAAGGGTACAATGCTTCACATATGGTGGACGTGTCCACGTATAAGACCCCTATGGAGGGAGGCACAAACTGTTTTGCTATCTATGGGTATTACATCACCGCCCATCGATATACATACGGGGATATTCCTATCATACCCACACTCCACCCCAAAATCTGTACGAAGCGTAATGGCCATTGTTATCCTAGCAGCGAGAAATCTGATAGCAACTCAGTGGAAACAACCCCACTGTCCCTCCCAAACCCAACTGCTAGACAAAATCCACCAATACTACACATATGAAAGCTTGTCTGCCAAGACTGTTGCTCAAAGGAAAAACTTCCAAACAGATTGGGCACCCTGGGTAGACCTAAGAGACGGAACAGTTCCGGGTACAGACACCCCACCCCACACTGATCGAACTCTTACGACAAACCCGACGAGCTCTAGAAACCACACCCCCCGCACTGGCCCCGCAATGGACTGATGAGACTCCGAGGCGGATATAATCGCGGTGAAGGCATAGACCCCAGAAAGCCGCACCGCTACTACACAATCTTTAATACTCACCATTACAACAGGAAGCCGAGCGCCACATCATAATACGATATGCACCTCTCCCCTCCTTTTTCCCTACACCTTTTCCCTTGTTATCTCCCAGTTGAAGGATCTCAATATTGGAATTTGCAACATAACCCACATGAAAAAGAGGGGTTAGCGATTAACCAGTGCAGGAGGCAGAACGGGGGCTTTGGGGGGATACGTAGAACCTCACGAAGATATTTGTAATCAATACAATAGTCTACGAACAGAGCGACCTGGCAGGTTCCTAACATCATCCTCCTAATCCCTACCGTTTGGATGCCGAAGCAACACCGCATGAGACATAACCCACTAACTAATAAGACAAAATTGCAAGTTATGTGAAAATGTGATCCCTCCACCCCCTTTTTTCTTTCTGTACCCCATTTGACTTCTGAAAATAAAAATTGTCAATTTGAAAAAAAAAATGCACAAATACAATGATATATATTTATACCTTAATAGGTGGGTAATTTGCAAAGTTCGTGAACTGATGAAAAGAAAATGGTGAAAAGCAAAAAAATTCAAGAAACCACTATGGTACTCCGCAGATGTGGTCAAAATAGTAAAAAAAAAAAAAAGAGTGAGGAAGACAGAATGATCTATAAGATTAGGCAGAAAGAGGCTAAGCAAGTTATAAGAGCTTCCAAATCACACAGCAAAAAAGGGGACAAAAGTTTTTTTAGATACATAAATGAGAAAAGGAAAGTAAAACAAGGATTAGTTAGATTAAAAAGAAAAGAAGGAATGCATGTAGAAGAGGATAAAGGTCTAGCTGACTGCCTCAATGAATATTTTTGTTCAGTATTTACAGATGAAAATGAAGGAAAGGGACCTCAGTTAGGAGCAAAACCATTAACATATTTTTTTAACCAATCATTGTTAACAGGAGTAGTCCCAGAAGAGTGGAAGTTAGCGAATGTTGTTCCGATCCACAAGAATGGTAGTAGGGAGGAGTCAGGCAACTATAGGCCAGTAAGCCTTACTTCAGTATTGGGGAAAGTGATGGAAACCATGTTAAAGGATAGGATTGTTGAACATCTAAAAACACGTGGATTTACAACATGGGTTTACTTCAGGGAGATTATGCCAAACTAATCTTATTGATTTTTTTGATTGGGTAACTAAAATAATAGATCAGGGTGGTGCAGTAGACATTGCTTACCTAGATTTCAGTAAGGCTTTTGACATTGTTGCACATAGAAGGCTTATCAATAAACTGCAATCTTTAAGTTTGGATTCCAATGTTGTTGAATGGGTAAGGCAGTGGCTGAGTAACAGGCAATGGAGTATATTCGAAGCTTGGGCTTGTCATCGGTGGGGTACCTCAGGGATCTGTACTTGGACCCATTCTCTTTAATATTTTTATTAGTGATATTGCAGAAGCAGGGGCGTACCTAGAGCATTTGGCACCTGGGGTGGGTCCTATTTTAGGAGAAAAGAAGGACTTGATGGCAGAGTACAGAATATTTGATAGAGTCCTAACCTCAACATCTGAGGAAAGGGATTTAGGGGTGATTATTTCAGATGACTTAAAGGTAGGCAGACAATGTAATAGAGCAGCAGGAAATGCTAGCAGAATGCTTGGTTGTATAGGGAGAGGTATTATCAGTAGAAAGAGGGAAGTGCTCATGCCATTGTACAGAACACTGGTGAGACCTCACTTGGAGTATTGTACGCAGTACTGGAGACCGTATCTTCAGAAGGATATTGATACTTTAGAGAGAGTTCAGAGAAGGGCTACTAAACTGGTTCATGGATTGCGGGATAAAACTTACCAGGAAAGGTTAAAGGATCTTAACATGTATAGCTTGGAGGAAATACGAGACAGGGGGGATATAATAGAAACATTTAAATACATAAAGGGAATCAACACAATAAAGGAGGAGATCATATTTAAAAGAAGAAAAGCTACCACATAGCTTTTAAATTAGAGGGGCAAAGGTTTAAAAATAATATCAGGAAATATTACTTTACTGAGAGTATAGTGGATGCATAGAATAGTCTTCCAGCTGAAGTGGTAGAGATTAACACAGTGAAGGAGTTTACGCATGCGTGGGATAGGGATAAGGTTATCCTAACTATAAGAGAAGGCCAAGGACTAATGAAAGTATTTAGAAAATTGGGCAGACTAGATGGGCCGAATGGTTCTTATCTGCCGCCACATTCTATGTTTCTATTTTTTTTTTCTGTGAATGCAAAATGAATTTCAACTTTTAGTCAAAACAGTAAATATGAAGATAGCTTTACATACTGTATTATTGTGTGTGTGTTTGTGTGTATGTATACATATACCTTAATGCTCTGCTGTATTCTTGCTCACGAGCATGAGTATAGCAGTGATGTCGGCTCAGAAGAAGACCCGATGGATCAAGATGGCTACGCCCACAAGGTACAGGTTTCTGTAAGTAAATATCAATGCCAACCAGAAACTGCAAATGCAATAAGGTAGTCTCTGGCAGGTGTTATAACACGTATACCTTATTTTTCTGGAATGATTTCTCCAGAACAAAAGCTTTCATGTTGGCATACATTTTTTTCTGTGCTTGAGTCTACAAATTATTTCAATAATCTGAAAGCTGGGCATATGCATAACAAATTTAATATCAATGTTCACTAAGCATACCAAACCTTGCAAAATAAACCATATTTCTGCTTGATAAGAACCAATTTGCCTTTGGTTTCACTCTATTTTCTGTAAATTGGTCAATAAATCTGCATTATACACATCGTCACCAGGGGTCATATTCCAAATCATTATTTAACAAAGAAAAATTGAAACTAAAGACAAAACACAATTATGCGGAAAAACCTAGTATGTCCATTACTCAAGCTTTAATTATACAGAGGATTTGATATATCTCATGGGCATTTCCTGTAACTACACAGTCATTTAGTCCATCTGCATTTTATCCAAATATATAGTATATATGTAATAGATAATCATGTAACTTCACTGGATTCAGTCTTTTGTATTAATAAAACATGGCTACATGTTCAAATGTTTGTTGATAATATTTTTTCTAACGGAACAAAGATAAATAGCATTTTTTTTTATTTGATCTGATCAGTTTCTCTATGAATATTCAGTATTTTAGCAACTGTCATAGGAGAACAGATATTGCATTTTATATTCATTCATGTACATTTTTATATTCATTCATGTACATTTGTCTAATGTATAATTCTAATACAAAATATAAAGCTTTATACAGGCTGTACACTTACTACTCTACTACAGAGTGTAATTTCTTCAGTGTTGTCACATGAAAAGATATAATAAAATATTTACAAAAATGTGAGGGGTGTACTCACTTTTGTTGTAAACTGTTTAGACATTAATGGCTGTGTGTTGAGTTATTTTGAGGGGACAGCAAATTTACAGTGTTACACAGGCTGTACCCTTACTACTTTACATTGTAGCAGTGTCATTTCTTCAGTGTTGTCACATGAAAAGATATAATAAAATATTTACAAAAATGTGAGGGGTGTACTCACTTTTGTGAGATACTGTATATGTAGCAAAGGACGGCTTGCACTCACGGCCTTTTGAAGATAAATATATTCCTCTATTAGAAGTTATTCCATAGGATTATATTTGATATATAAATGTGTGGCATAGTAATTAGCACCCTTTTAGTCAATATTTTGTGCTACCTCCCTTTGCCAAGATAACAGCTCTGGATGATAAGGTTGGTGAAAAACATGGCAAGGGATCAAAGACCATTCCTCCATATAAAATCTCTCCAGATCCTTCCAATTTGGAGGTTGATGCTGCTGGACGCTCCACTTCAGTACACCCCACAGGTTTTCTATGGGATTCAGGAGACTGTCATGGCCCTGGTAAGATCTTGATGTTTTGCTCAGTAAACCATTTTGTGTTGATTTCGATGTATATTTTAGATCATTATCCTGCTGGAAGATCCAACCACGGCCCATTTTAAGCTTTCTCGCAGAGGCAGTCAAGTTTTCATGTAAAATCTGTTGATACATGATGCCATATATTCCCAGAGAGATAAATAAACTGGATAAAGATAACAGGGGACAGGTGTGGAATTTGGAGAACTCAAAGATTTCAACGTACTCGTTTAGAAATGATACATTTCTATCATTTGTGAAGTGAAACCTTAAAGGCGTTACTTACTGCA